AGGCAGCTAGTCACCCACAAAGGTGGCAGCAGGTCAGTCACCAGCATGTGACCATTAAATTTGCATACTGTGTCACAGGAACCAGAATGGCCTTGGGTAGTGCTTCCAAAAGCATTCTCCAGCCTGATGCCATCAGGCTGCTCAGGGGTTTCTGGGGGAACTACTTTTAAAAGACCAAGCATCTTGCTCCTCCCATGTCAGGAGGGAGAGAAGATTCCATAAAGCCACTGGGAGACCCTCTGGTCCCCACTGGGCACACCAGGAAAGGTCCAAAGATGGAGAGAGGATCTGCTTACCACTTTAAGATGGGAAGGTACTCAGCCAAGGCAGTGCCTGCAGAGTGCAGCCCATTCCTCTGTGTTTGTATTCCCTGCTGCAGATTCACCTCAAGGAAGCAGCTCACCCCTCCAGGGAAGCCGTGTGCGACTCACGGCCTGAACCAGCAGTGGCTCTCTGATCCGTGTTCTGGTGTTTTATCTTGGTAGGCAGAGAAGATCACAGGGCCAGTATACGTCGTCTCTGAACCCCGACCGTGGGCAGTCACTCCTCAGCCTCCCTTACCCACGAGACCTCAGTCTAGGGGCTTCCACGCAGGGATGCCAGGGGCCTCGTGGGGCTCTGCACCCAGGGTTCAGTCCCTCTTGGGAAGCGAGGTGCCCAGCTGGCTCCTGTTGAAGATCTCAGGTGCAGGGTCACGCCCTGCACAGTCTGGGCATAGGCTTCCATCTGCCTGCCCTGGGCTCCCACCGGGTGGACCGGCCTCCTCTCCAGGGAGCCCAGTGGTCCACACCACAACTCAGCCTGGAGCATTAGCCACACAGCACTATGAGTCAGGGGCACTGTGGCCTCTTTGGGACCTGTTGTTGGTCCCTCTATGCACAAACCAGACATCTTCTGTCTCCAGGGCTGGGCTGAGATGTTCAGTTAGAAGAAACAGAATAATCCATCGTATTTTCCTACACGTATGCTGCCCCTCAGACTGGAAAGGTTGGTGGGCAGACAGGGCCACAGGGCCTTTGTGCGCGCGTCATCTATACCACAGACCAATCATGATTACCCAGTGACTGCAGTGACCACCCAACGTACTGTTGGTGCCGTGGGTGGTGGCTGCTGTCCCCATCGGTTCCTCATCTTTTCAATGGCCTGTGCTGTTCCAGGTCTAGTTATCCTCTGGTCTCAGATGAGTTGACTCTTGGGGCCTGCAGAATGGGTTTCTAACTGGGGTGAAGCTTGGTTGCGCTCTGCGGGATCGTCTGGGCCTTCTCCTGGGCTGCCCTTTCAGAGTGGACCCTTCCTCGAAAGCCCGTGTCCCGGTGGTTCTCACCGGCCTCCACAGGCTAGAGGGCAAGACTGCGCCCCTCTTGGTGGGCAGCACACCCCTGCTGGCTTGTGCCAGCAGCCTCATGTGGTAGGTTAATTCACTTGGGCCTTTACTGTCCTTCTCAATTTCCTATCTTTCACATTTGGACAAAATGGCTTTGTATCTTCAGCCACAGTGTGGATTAAAATATTGGTCCAGGCGAGACAGGTAGCAGCCCACTACGGGGGCCTCTGCCTCCTTCATCCTTCCACAGAATCCTCCAGTGAGTGGCTGACCCCAGCCCAGTTCGCCTGCCTCCCTTTCCTCCAGGCAGGGCCTTCCTCTTCCAGGTGAGCACTCAGGAGGGTCGCCCTGGTGGTCACCGCCAGCAAGGCCACACACTGCAGAGAGACAGGCAGGGAGACCCAGCGCTGCCATGTACTGGCTGAGCAGCGAGGCTTCCCGAGGAGGGTGGCCGAGGGCTGGGCGCCAGGCTGCTGTGGCTCTCCCAGGGGTGTGGAGGCATCTGCCGAGGGTGGAGCAAGAGCACGAAGGACTCCTGTGTCCTGGGTGTCCTAGGCACGTGTCAGGACAGCGACAGGAAGGGCGGTCAAGTCAGGGGTCAAGTGAGGAAATCTTTGCTCAATCTCATTCCCTAAGAATGTCCCAGGGCCAGGTAAAGAAGGCAGAGAGGCAGAGCAGAGGAAAGGACCGGGCACCGGAGGGAGAGGCACCGGTGTTCACTGACGTGGGAGATGTCAGTAGAGATGTGCGGTAGAACATACGTGTAAGGAGTCGGACACCAGAATTGGGCCACAGGGAGCACCTGTGGGGTTTGCAGGGAGCAGGCTGAGGTCCGGTGGCCACTTGGTTCCCTTAAGTAGATTGTGTATGCCTGATGAATAGAGCCAAGCCAAACTGTACCTTCGTGACTTCATGTGGAAGTTTCGTCTTTGCGTGGAATACTGAGAGCGTTGGAAGTAACTGCTCTTCAGAACGAGGCCCAAAATGGAGATGCTTCTGTGGCACCGTACCCAGATCTCCACCGTGGTTTTTGTCACTTTGTGTCCTTTATCTGTGTATAGGCCTGTGCCTGTCCCTACCCCACAGGGGCATTCGCAGAGCAGCTCTGTCCCCCACGCCAAGTAGCTCTCTGCCTTCAGCTCCAGTGAATGGAGCTCCCAATTCTAGCTGGAAGTCCGAATGTGAAAGCTGCCTGGAAGGCCAGTGAGCAGGAGTCCTAGCTAGGAAGCTAATGGTTGTGATTGTTTTCACCAGATAATCCAATAAATCCTGGTCAGAGGGGGCTTTTATGTGTGCATTTGAATCTGCTAGTAGATCTCTTCAGTTCTACCCATAAGTTACCAAGTTTGCTTACRGTCAATCTGCATGTGCTGTAATTCTTTCCTGCCCTGTCAGTTTCCTATAAGTTGTCATAAAATACATGAATTGGGGTACTGTCTTATAAGAATCTGTGCAGAAAGGGTATAATTCATAGTATTAGGACATAAAAGCCCATGGATCAGGAGGCTGGACCTTTTAAGATCCACAGATGCATTGGCTCAGCCTGTAATTGCCAGGTGTAATTGCAGGTCAGCCAGGGAGAAGCCTGTTTGAAAGTCAGTGATTTTTTTTTTAATGAAAATCCAACAAGTCCCCCAGTGTCCAGGGCCTTCCTGGCGTGGGGGAGGGGCTGCAGACCTCCCCGCCCCCCTCCCCCCTTCCCTTTCGAAGGCAGGTGGAGGTTCTGCTTCTGCATGAACACAGGGGTCGCTTATTCTCCGAGCTTAAGGGCAGTGGATGGCACTAGAGCTCCTGCCGGGTCTCTTACTCTCAGAGCACTGGTCACTGGCTGTCCGTAGTCAGGAGCCTGAGAGGCTCCTGTGTTTCCTGCTGCRCTCCGTCCCCTCTCTGGAGTCAGCTTCAGCAGCGGGGATGACGCAGCCAGCCAGAGCCCAGGGCTTTGTGTACAACCTGGCCTCCCTGGGCACCAGTGTGGCCCAAGATCAGGCCCTCTGCAGCGCCTCCTCACCTTTAGGGGAGTCACAGGCCTTGGAGAGGCTGGGGGAGGCTTGGCCCTCCTGACCAAGGTCACTTTCACTCCCTGAGGGTGGACACTCTATAGAGACCAAAGGGTTTGCAAATGGGCGTGCCCACAGCCCCACCCTCCAGGTGCTGTTGGGTGCAAGACCCACAGGTTTAGGTCCAGCCCAGTGGGCAGTTAAATTCTGCAAGAGCCATGAGGCTATTTTACACAAAGCATGACTCGATTCTTCACAGACTATGTAAGGATGTCATAGGAACGGGGCATGATTTTCTCCGTGTAATTGCCGTTACACAGTATTGTAGGACAGTGCGTTGAGAGGACATGGACTTCCTCTTCCTGGACATTGCCTGAGCCCCACAGCAGTGGGGCTTGCCAGCATCAGTGGGATTGGGAGGAGGGGTCTCTCAGCCACCACAGGGGAACTGCATTTCTCCTGAGACTAAAAGGAATGAGGGAAGGTGGCTGGAGACAGTTGCTGTGGCCTTGGAGACAGGAGGCAGGAGTTGGGATAAGTGTCCTCATGGCCAATGCTGCTGGGCGTGTGGCACGGAAGGGCCTTGAGAGCCGCTGAGGCCAAGGCTGGCAGGAGGGCCTCGGAAGCTGGGCCAGAGGAGCCAGGAACCCAGCAGGTGGGAGCTCTGTGCCCTAGACACGAGCCACTGAGTGGCCATGTGCAGATGGCAGAGAAGGTGCCTGGATACCACCTGGAAGGTGGGCTCTTCCGTGGCCACAGGGCAGTCATGTAGCTCGTTCACAGGCCAGAGCTTGCAGACCGCTCACCCAGGAGGACCTCGCCCCTGAAGAGCCAGCTTCACGTTTCTTGCTGGTGGTTTGTCGCTGGTCCTGCTCCTCCAGAGTGGTACCTGCTGGGCTGGTACTGGGAATTTAGGGCCAAGGTTTCTGGGCCCAGGCCCTGGGAGGGAGGTCAGGGCACCTGGCTAAACCAGGAGAGACACTCTGCTCTGTAGTGGTTCTCTTGCCCACTGCACAGGTGAGGGACATGTTCCTAGGGAGTGGAGGGATTGGTCCAAAGACCAAAATGGGGTAGATGGTGTTGCAACATGTGGTCTCAGAAACATGCCCCTCAGCAGACTGCAAGCCTCAACTCGACCCTTCCAGTCACCTGGAATTCTGCTCTCTGGTCTGAGGATAGTAGGAACTAAAGCTTCTTCCACCCTGACAGGTCCTTTGCCGTGGAAGGACAGAAGTCTCTGGCGTCCTGAGTGCTGCGGTGTGGCTGCGTCTGCGCGCAGGCGCTGCGCAGTAACTAAAACCCAGTCCTGAGATGAGCCTCGCTAACTTAATCTTCCTCCCACAGATACGATGGTCAGCAGTAAGTCACAAACTTATTCTCCTAAGTTGCTTGGTCTGTGCCCAACACAGAGACACTGACATCACACGCTGTTTCTCATTTTTCCCTGTCCCCGAGCATCGATTGAAACCTAGCTAAGCCTGCTGGCTTTAGGAAGCGATCTCGAGCAGGCGGAGGTGTGTGGATTCAGATCCCCGCTGCCGTGCTTGTCCAGGCCTGTGTGTGCTGCCAGCCCCATGCAGGTGCCATTGAACCCAGAGGCACTTTTGTGACAGAGCACTGGCAGAGGGGCTGCTGTCTCATGAAAGTAAACTCTTCATCCCCACCACTCTGTGTTTCAGAACAAGAAGAAAACTTTGAGTTTATCATTGTGTCCCTCACTGGCCAGACCTGGCACTTTGAAGCCACCACATATGAAGAACGAGATGCGTGGGTCCAAGCCATCGAGAGCCAGATCCTAGCCAGCCTACAGTCCTGCGAGAGCAGCAAGAATAAGGTAAGCCCTCAGCAGGCTGTCCCCCGAAATCAAGGCCTCTGATCATTAAAGAGCAGCAAAGGCCCAGAGTGCGGGCCCAGGAGGACAAAGCATCAGGTGACGTGTGGATGACAAGGACCCAGGTATTCTTTGTGAGCAAAAGACTAAATAAGTGAAAAGATAAAAACACTCTGTCCATCTTTACCGCGTGTCATGCCTTGGTGTCCTGGCTTGGCCCTGTCCCTGTGGCAGGATGTCCAACACTGAATCTTTGTTCTATCAGGTGGACACGCTGAATGGCCATGGCGGGTGCTGGAGTCTCCTGGGCTCTTAGGTCTTACGCATCCACACTTTGTCTGGGGAAGAATAAATCAGAAAAAGAAACATACCATTCTGTTCCCACGAATGCCCGAAGTCCAAACCCACGCCAGGTGGGGAGGTGGCCTTGTTAGAGGTGGACAGGGAAGGCGCCTGCAGACCTGGGCGGRAGGGAGATTGGGTGAGGAGAAGTTCTCTTTTCTAAACTGTTGCCAAAGCCTGGTGCGTGTTTTAATCAATAATTAGAGGCGACTTTTTTTTTTACAGTTGTATAGCCAAAGAAAACGTGTTTGAATGTGCATTTTTTAGGCCATGCTCAGTGACATTCCTTACACTAAAATTATGCTCCCATCCAGAGCTGCTTCCATTTCTCTGTTTTAATCCTTGACTGTTTAAAACCCCCTTGCTGGGACATTTTAGAGCCTCAGAGTACATTTTATTTTTCTAACTGTGCCCAAATAGAAACTGAGGACATTGCCCACCAACCTACAAAATCAAGTGCATTTAAAGAAAATTCTGGAAGGGATTTGTGGTGAGCTTTGTGTGCACATGCAACACACTCCCGCACTCGGATGCCAACGTGAATTGAAACATGCTTTGAATACTTGGGTATCTAGCTGAGGGGAATTAAAACCCAATAATACAAGATACTAATTAGACAAAGTTAATAAATTATAACTTAATGTTACACAATAAGCAATAAACTATTCTACATCAAACAACATGTCAAGAGATGGCTTCATCCACTCCTCAATATAAAGAACTCTTACACAAAAATAAGATTTATCCCAAGTGTCCCTTGAAGTTGATCAATTTTTGTTTTAAACATGATATTAAATGCATATTTAATAAACAGGCTGTAACCGCTGCAGGCACCCTTTCCCTAGCACCTGTAGAACCAGCAATTCCTCTCCACTAGGTAATGGTGGATGTGTGCGTAGAGTCGGCGTCAAGAGCGCTCCTTTCAGCACTGTTCAGGTAGAGCAGAGCTGGAGGCGACCCGAGCATCTGGGGCAACTTGACAAGGGATTCATTGATAAGTGGAAGACGAAAACGCATGGTATCAAAATATCAGAGCTCGACTCTGCGTGGTCCCGCCACRGGTCACACGCCTTCATGTACTTTAAGAATAAGTGCCCCACCAGCCCGCTTTGTCCCAGTTTGGTTTCCTCAAATGGAAAGGGGGTCTCCAGCCATGACATGGTGTGGRCAGGTTTTCTGAGCAGTGAGCAGGAGTTAGGTCTACCCTGCCGACGAAGCCCGCAGGCCGGCTTCCTCTGCTGCTTCGGTCCTCATGCCAAGAAGTGCAGTGTCAGCCGAAGTGCGTCGGCACCGACCTTCCCGGGGACCCCTGGCCTCGTGGTCACACACACACACACACACCACTGGACTCGCCTCTTTGCTGGTTTTGGCAGAGTCCGTCTCAACAGGTGGATCCCATCAAGAGAGGAAACTGAGGCTCTCCCTCCCCTGGATTGCACAGGGTTGAGCTGATGGTGTTAGGAGGTGTCTGTCTCCCCGGGCTTCTCATATTTTGCTTTTGTCTGTCTTCCTCCACGCCCAGTCCCGACTGACCAGCCAGAGTGAGGCCATGGCCCTGCAGTCCATCCGGAACATCCGCGGGAACTCCCACTGCGTAGACTGCGACACCCAGAGTGAGTGCGCCAGGGCAGCGGGACGGACCCGGGGCCCAGCTGCAGGGTCAGGCTGTCGTCCCTGTCAGGAAGGGCGGTGACGGGTACCRAGGTCCACTGTTCTGCTCAGACTTTACCTTAGCGGTCTCGCTGACGGACGTGCACCATTCCCAGGAGCAGTCAGTGAGCCCTGCTTRGGACTGCGAAGGACTCAGCCCTGACCCACATCCCATCTCATCTGGGAAGCAGCCTCTGCTACATTAGTGACCAATTGTTTGGTTTTTTCCATAAAAATAGAGTCCATTTCTGCCCAGAGATTCTGGACTTTTTTTTTTTAATTTCAAAAGTGTATGTTCTGGGTTTTGACATCATGATTCTTTTTATTTTATATACATTACAAACTGCAGCATTTGATTGAACGAGTAGAACTTGTAGTGACTGCTTCATGACTCGGTTGTATTTCGTGCTTTCTATTGTCTAAAATGTGATCTTCCCTTTGACAGGGGCATTTTGTGGCTTACCTCCTTGAGGCTGGGGATTGGCTTTTCACTCTTTTAGTTCCAGCCCTGAGAAGTTTGTATTGGGTATTTTTTTTTCTAATTGTGTTAATGTTTTTGTTTTTGTTTTGTTTTTGTTTTGTTTTTGTTAAATAGCGTTTCAAAGAGGGGAGACTCAGTTCAAAGTTTAAACCAGGTCAGGGGTCCTGGGGCCAGGCCAGCGCTGCCTGGCAGGCCTGGTGATGGGGCTGGTGCTGAGTGTCCGGAGCCAAGCCCAGGGGCTGAGACGTGAGCCCTCGAGAAGGGCCAGCTGGGCACTTGGCGTCAGGCTGCTTGGGGCCAGCCAACCTGCCACAGGGTCAGTGTTTCAGAGAGTTCTGGGGACACGTCGGGTCTGTGCAGGTGGAGGAGTCTGAAGGGACCATGCAGYGTAGGTCACTGCCAAGCAGAGGGTCACCCTGGCCTCGTTTAGGAAAAGAGCACCTCTCAGCTGGACCTGGTCAGAGCCAGTGGGGTGCGGCACCAGGGGCAGAGTTGCGGTCTCTGTTCTTCAGTCCTCGGGGCTGCAGAGCAGGACAGGTGGACCCCAAGCCAGCGGGGGAGACGGGCCTGTCTATCTGAGGGTCCCACTTCACGTGGAGTAGGGTAGAGMGCCAGGGCAAGGAGGCCGACTGGGAGGACGGGGTGGCCGCCACAGGGAAGGGTTGGGCCGCCCCTGCAAGGCCACTCGTCTCWGGCCTGGGAAGGGACACAGCGAGTCGCTTCTCACGGTGGGGGACCAGGCTGCTGTTTTCACGCTCCCTGAGATACTTCTTTAAAGTATCTTTTTTTGTTTGAATCTTAAAATTTTACTTTCAAAACGTGTGGTGGTGGACGGAGGTAGAAGACAGGAGCAGTTGTTTGAAGTGTGTTTTTATCAAGAACTTTTTAAAGTAGACCTTTCTTAGAAGCACAAACCTGAGACGCTTCAGACCGTCCATCAGGGAAGTTCTGTCCTTGTTTCCACCATACATCGAAGGATTCCGTTAAAAGAAACTAGTCCGTGGCCTGTGGGGACCGTGGCCTGTGGGGACCATGGCCTGTGACAGATTGGAGGTCAGGAGTGGGGTGTGGGGRCACTGAGGGTGGGTGGGGAGGGGAGTGCCTGCCAGGCTGCGGGACCAGTGTGGCTGGAACCAGCAGACCACCTGGGTGGAGGAGCAGCCCGGGAGCCGGCAGAGCTGGGCAGCTGGGAGGCGCCAGGCGACTGTTCACCAAGCAGGTGCCATCTTTAATTCTCACGACTCTTAGAGTTGGTGCCACTGTGGGCCCCTGTACAGTGGGGGAAACGAAGAGTCCAGGGCTTGAATAATTCACTCAAGGTTACAGAATTGGCGAATCATGACCTATCCTTCAGTCCACGCTAGGGGCTGCCTGTGTTTCCTCAAAGGTCTTCAAGCCTGGAGAGTCTGAGATCAAGGACACACATAGCACCGTGGCCAGGATCTTCTGAAGTAAAATCATCCAGTTTGGGTGCCGGGCTGGGAAACATGTGCGCAGGCTGACATTCACCATAGCGACCATGAGCACCCCTCAGCACAATGGGCGCGGTTCAGGAGGGCTGGGTGCCCTGGAGCCTGCTGGGCTGCTCAGGGGGAACTGATGGAAATGGCAAGAAACTAGCTTGGAAGATGTCCATCGCACCACAGCTGGACCCAGGTCAGGAACACCCCGGGTTCTGCAAAGCCGAGGGCAGTTAYGGGCATGGAGTGCCTCGGGAGATACTGCACTAGAGGGACAGCACGTGCTTCTCCCAGTGAGTCTGGCTGGCCCATCACTTCAGCTGTGCTGCCTCTGAGTAGGGACGAGGYGGGGGACTTCAGTGCAGCATGGGATTTGAAGCTGTGAAAACCCCGCCTCCTCCTGTGGTTCTTCTGGACACCAGGAGCCCCGGCTGTCTGCCCTGTTGGTACATCCCAAAGCCCAGCTTCCAGTGTGGACACTAGACTTCCTTAGCTTTGGGGGTAACCACCTGTAAAGGGAGTCTGTGATCCAGTGAATTTAGGAAGCTCAACAGCGTCCACCAAGGGGGACTCGAAGCCTTGGCCCATCCCTGCTTCTGGGAAGTCCTGCCATAAAGATGCCTGTTGCACATGTGCAGTCCAGCTGTGGCAGAAGTCTGTTTGGGGCACCTGTTGCCAGACACCTGCCAGGAACAGGCCCAGAAAGCCTGCCCTTGGGGGCCCATAGAATCCCAGACCTTGGGGCCCCCACATGGCCCTCACCAGCAGCTAGCCATTCCAGGACCAACCCTGCGGGGCAGCCCAGCCTTTCTGCACTGTCAGTCCTCTTACCCATCAAGTCCTGGCCAGCGCTGCTCCACGCGGATCCTGCCACCATGTCTATCTAAACATTATGGGTGCCCTTCCCTCCCAGGTGACCCAGCCAAACTTGCAGGGGGAGCCCCACCGGCCTCTCCGGTCCTTGCTAAGCCCACAGGCAGAGCCATCCATTGTCCCAAGTCCTCAGAGCCTTGGCCCCATGTCGCCTCTCCAAAAGGTTGTCCTTGACCACTGGCTGTTTCTGCAGTGCTGGGCAGGCGCTCTTCCACCACGCCACACCCAGCCGCTGACCACCGAGTTAAAACTGCTCACGTCCATCTGTGTCCTCTTGCTCCTCCAGGGGTGCCTGGTTCTGCCACCTCTTGGTGGATCATGTGATCTTCTTATTTCTTCCTTAGATATCAACTGGAGCAGAGGTGAGGCTGACCCTCCACAGCCCTGGTCATAGGGGCGGAACAGCCTCGTCCCTGCTGCGCTCCGTCTTGACTGGGCCTCAGTGGCCAGGGGCTTGGACTCCGGGTCACTCTGCTCCCCTTGAATCTTCCATATCTGTCGTCTTCACAGAAACCTTTGAGTATAGGCCCAGAAACACGCCACCCCCACCCCATGTGGACATCCTCCTTTAGATCCAGACTAGGACAGTCTGGGAAGTAGGCAGGATGGCCATGTGCCAAGCTCTACACATGGACCATTGTCATTGGTCTATGTCCCTGAGACAATTCACAGTGGCCTGGAGCAGTGTAGTGGGCCCCACAACCAAATGAGTCTCCTGTACAGTGCAGGCGAGCACCCCTAGGGGCGGCGTTGACTGTCCACTGTAGCACTCAGCAGTGGCCCTTCCACAGGGCACAGGGCGAAAGAGAAGGGGATTCGGTGCAGGAGGAGCCAGTGAGGAGGGTGTGGTGACGACGCACTTCAGCACCGACTTAGCTGGAGTTGGGTGTCTTGAGACTGTGCCTGTCACTTGCCTCTCAGGAATTCTTGTGTGACAATGGGACCTGTCCCCACCTTATGCCCAGCACAAACCACAGCCTGCGGCCTTCTCAGAAGTTCAGGTCCCCCAGTGCGGCCCTGAGCCTTCCCAGCGGATCTCCCAGCCATCCTGGTGTGGGCTGCCACCCGGCACCGGTGGGCTTCCTTGTGCCTGCTAACGCTGCCGTGGTCAGACCAGAGCCCTGTGTCACTTCCTAGTGCATCCTGTCCTGCCCAGACAGCCTACCTCCCACGCGCCCAGACCCCCTTGGAGGGCTCCCCTGCTTGGTGGAGCCATTCTGAGTCACCTGCCGAACGCACGTCAAGGCAGAGCCCTGAGGAGCTGGCTTGACCACACCTGCCACCTACCTGCCCGCAGGGGAAGCAGGCACAGGGCAGCCTGGGCAGAGGGCAGGCTGCCAGGAGTCACCTGGCAGAGGGTGGTCATGGAGGACGTCCTGGGAAGGAGGACTCCAGCTGAGGCCAGAGAACGAGAACTGTACCGGGGCCCAGGGTGTTCGGCCAGGCGGGGGAGCCCCGAGCACTGGTGGGTCAAGGAGCTGAGCGTCTCGGGTGGGACCAGTGAGAAATGGGTTTCATCAGGACTAGGAACAACTCCATCCAAATGGCAGACAGCAGCCATGGGTGGTTCTGAGTCCTGGGGTGACATGAGCAGATTCGTCACATTTCCTGGGTGCAGGTGGGGAGCGGTCTGCAGTGGGCGGAAGATGAAAGCACAGGCAGTAGCTGCTGTACCCATGTCATGATGGCAGAAAGGACGAGGGTTTGAGAAGGAAGAGTTGGATTTGAGGGAKCTTGAGAGCACGTGGTTAGCTATGGGAGCGACAAGAAACCTGAGGTTGGTTGCCAGGATCCTGCGTAAGTGACAGGAAGGCCAGGGCCGCTGGCTGAGGTCAGGAACAGAGTGTGTCTGTGAGGCAAGACGGTGACAGCGGGGTGTCTGCAGGATGGGGATGGAAGTGGACTGTGGCGGTGATGCTCTAGCTCTGGAGCGAGGAAGAGGTGACAGCTGTAGGTAAGAGCTAGCATGTGGGTCACCTTGGAGGGCTGGGTTTTAGTCGGTGTTCTTACCACTGTGACTGAGAGGCCTGCCGAGAACAACCAGAGAAGGAGCAGCTTATTTGGGTGTCACAATTCCAGAGGTCTCAGTCCACAGATGTGTCCGGAGGTGAGGCAGACCGTGTGGCGGAAGGGCGTGGAAGGGGACCACAGCTCAGGACATGATGATCAGGAAGCAGAGAGACCGGCCCCCCACCATGGGCAGAACAATCCAGAGGCAGGTCCGCAGTGACCGCCTCCTCCAGCCACAACCTGCCCTCGGCCACCACCCAATTAATCCCTATTCGGGGATTATGCACTGACAAGGTCACGACTCTCGCAACCTGATCGTTTCACCCTGAGCTTCCTTGCATTTTCTCTCACATGAGCTTTTGGGACACCTCACATCTAAATCATAGTGGGTTTGCTTGGAAGAGAGTATGGACAAGCTGCAGGAGCCCTGAGGGAGGCACAGGTCCAGGAGGAGACCAAGATACAGCAACCAGAAACGTGGGAGAAAACCCGAGAGAGGCTGTTGACCAGGACSGCATCCGAGTCAGCATCTGGGACGTCTTCGGCCAGCAAGGGGCCAAGTAAACGGTGGCAACTCCCTTGGGTGTGGCCTTTGAAGGTGGCTGGTGATATGGGCTGCCCTGTGTTTCGGGGACAGTGGGGGCGCAGAAGCAGAGGTGGCCAGGGTGAGGAGGGCCATGCAGGCTGCTGTCCACACCTCCCTCTTCTCCAAACACCTGCAAGGCCAGCCAGAACTTTGTCTACACAGCCACCCTGCCCCTGCTGTCCTGCCCCCCTCTGCGTTTATTTGTGTGGCCGAATTCTTCCGCATCTACGCTTCCTTGTCCTGTTGTTTGGTTGTTCATTTGGGGCACGGGTTTCCCCCTCCCACCTGACGCCTCTCAGGCCCAGACCTCTGCTCTGGCCCGTCCCCTGGCATCGCCTCCTGAACGCGGACTAGATGTTAAGCAAATGGCTGACTGATTGATCAGTTCATATACGACCATTCCCGGTCATTTGCCGTTTGTAGAACAAAGGACATGTACTCAGTGAATCACACATGACGTCAGCCACCTGGTGTTCTGCTGGCTCTTCAGGTGGTCTGGGGAAGTAGTGACTGTCCTTGAGTTGAGCCTTACTTGCTTCTGTCCTTGAAAACATCTTGGCTAATCAGCTGTGGATTCTAGCTGCAGCCAGCCCTGGGCCTGAGTTTCGGGTCTTCCGATGACTCCGGCCTGTACCCAGTGAGTGATGCAGGTCAGGGGTCCCAAAGCCCTTCTGTGACCAGGTTTGTTGTCCTGCAGAAATGGGTCCTTGGTCCGGTATCACAGCCTGAGGCCTCTACCATTCATTCTGCAACTCAGGGTGACAGAGCCGGCTCCTCACTACCTGAGGGCCGAGTGCCAGCTTGCCAGCCATGAAGCATGGAGAGTCCAGTTGTCCTAGTGTTACCCTTAGAAAAGATCCCAACGGTGTATTTTCCCATCATTCTTTCATCTTTGAAATCCACGAACACTTCCATCTCGGGCCTATCAAAACCTTGTGCTGGTTTAGTAGAGGTGGTATGAGGGCTGTTCTGGCTTTGGGAATGACCCCAGCTTGCTTCCCCCTGCCCTCTGCCTGCAGCTGTCTGCTGTGGACGCCAGCTTTCTGGAAGTGAGCGTGGCTACTGGAGGGTTGGAGAGGGCGTCCCTCCAGGGGCACTCTAGCTGGACCGTGTCATTGTGTGTTGTGGAGGAAACTCGTGGGCTTCTGCTTCAGCCAGAGTTTTAGAACATGTCACTTCTTTGAAGGCACCTAGAACAATATTGAGTACTGGCCAGGGGCCGTGGGGTCACGTGGGGTGGGGACCGCCCAACGTGGAGCTTGACCAGCTGGTCCTGAAACTCTCAGGACAGCAGGGACCAGCGACGGTGGTCTGACGTGCCCGGCTGTTCCACTCCCCGCAGATCCCAACTGGGCCAGTCTGAACTTGGGAGCCCTCATGTGCATCGAGTGCTCGGGCATCCACCGGAATCTGGGCACCCACCTCTCCCGGGTCCGGTCTCTGGACCTCGACGACTGGCCCATCGAGCTGATCAAGGTGATGTCGTCCATCGGGAACGAGCTGGCCAACAGCGTCTGGGAAGAGAGCAGCCAGGGGCGGACGAAGCCCTCCTTGGACTCCACGAGGTAGGAACCCGGCAGCGCACTGCCTCCACGCCGACACCACAGTTAGACAGCTAGGGTCCACCTGAGGGACAGCCACACTCAGAGTGGCCCTGGCCACCTGTAGGAATGCCAGTGAGGCCTGCCCAGAAACATCTGTGTTTAAAATTGGTCTTAAGCAGAGTGGATAATTCAAACTGCTTAATTTTTTATGTTTGTTTTTAGGCCTTGGGGATTTCTGTCCCCCTCTTAGAAATGTATTAAACTTCTAACCTTATGAATATATTACTTTAATTAATACATTTCTAATAGACATGAGCTGTGCTGACACTAATTATGACTTTTTGATTCTTTCATTTTGTTTATCATTCTTGTATCTTTGTCAGCATCTGCTCCGTTGGTAACCACCCCCGCTCCTACCAACAAGTGAATTTGTGAGGAGAGAATATGTTTTACTTCCTAAAATATATTTCTAACCCATTTAATCAACCAAGTTCAGCATAATGTATGGTGACTCCTCATTAATGTTAATTGTTATCCAGTGTAAAAAACGCATTTATTTTGAGGCCATTTAGTTTCTCATTTGTCATTCACAGCTATTACAAACCGTTTTTGAGAGGACACATGCATATTTAATACCCCTCAGAGGTGGTGAAATAGCACGTCTTCAGAGCAGGCCTGTCTGCAGCTGCCTCCTCCTTGTAGGCCACTCAGCAGGGGTCTTGCTCCCGCCTAGACAGCGGGGCTGGGGTGTTTCCAGCGCTCACTTCTTGGGCGTGGGGTGAGACGAAGGCAGGAGGTGCCACCCATCCTTAGCCACAGGACAGGCCTCGCTCTGTTTTGCTGGTAATGCGATGGACTGGAGGCCAGTAGTGCTCAGTCCATGGCTCACCTGCAGACATTGGTGACCGCTGGGTGACACCAGAGTCACAGGCCCAATGTCACCAACACTGCAATGGGAGGGTGTGGTGCCACCTTGGGTTYATGTGACATCAGTGACCACTGGGTGACACCAGAGCCACAGGCTCAATGTCACCAACACTGCAATGGGAGGGTGTGGTGCCACCTTGGGTTCACGTGGAGGGGGAAACTGGCACCTGTTAGTCCTGCTGTCCCCAAGGCCGCTCTGGGGAAGGACGGGGATGACAGAGGCGTGCCAGGTTGACTGTTGGAAGTCCCACAGGTTCGACATGCGGGCTTTTCTCATGTGGGTTGCACCGTGCCACGTGGACACAGGTAACTTCTAACAAACCAGAGAAACTCTCGTCTTGTTAAAGCTGCCTTGATCTGTTGACCACCGAGTTAGAAACAGCTGGGTTGTCCACTAGGCACATTCTTAAAAAAGATCAAATCGCGTTGCATTTAATCACTGAAAGAACTTCAGTCTGAAAATCGGAAATTAGATTGAGTTTAATGTTTGAATGAACAAAACATTGAAATAAGTTTGAAAAAATTAACAGGTTTTTAATATCAGGAATTAGAAAAGCTTGTTTTTCTGTCCATTAAAATTTGAAACCATTTAAAATTATTAGAAGTGAAGTTGTGGGTTATTGTTTAAACTGATAAATATTTCACATTAATTTTGCAGTTCTAAGTGAAAACCACAGGTATTTGATAGTTCTTTGTATCTTTGAATGAAGGGCTTGCATTTGTAGCTCCTGATCTACAGAACATTAGACATTCAGAGACGTATCTCGAAGTCTTCCTTTCTCACTAACGAGGCAACTGCAACAGAACCCCATCTTTTCTTGGGTCACACTGGCTTTCCTAAAGAGAAGTGCCAATAGCCAGGCACATTGGCACACACCTGTAATCATAGCCATTCAGGAGACTGAGGCAGGAGGATCACAAGTTCAAGACTGTCCTCCGCAACTTAGGGAGACCCTGTCCCAAAACAAAACAAAACAAAACAAAAGGGCTGATGGTGTAGCTCAGCTCAGTGGTAGAGCACTTGCCTAGCATATGAGAGACCCTGGGTTCCATCCCCAGTGCCACCAAGAGTGGGGGAGGTTACAGTATTTAGGTGCAGTTCCTCTCCAGGGCGCGGACATCCTAATGAGGTTCCGTGACGTTTCCACAGGTAGCTCTTGAATTCCTATGTTCTGTCCACCACTAAGATCAATGTACAGGAGAATTGACTTAATTTTTTGTGCCTTTAAAAATTCTCCAGGAGAGTTTTGTTTTTGATTGAATTCAGTGAATGTCCATTGAGCACTCGCTCATGGAAGAGACAGTGAATGGTGGCTGGGACAGCAGTGGCAGGTGACGCCCTGGGCCCGCTGGGGGTGCCAGGGCTGGCAGAATTTGGCAGGTGGGGGGGGACTCTTACAGCCGGTGTGCTGCGGGGACAGGTCACTGGACGAAGGCTGCTCGAGCCGGTGTCTTAATATGAGGTGGTTCCCAGGGGAGGTGTGCCGGGGGAGGTCAGTGGCCTGGGCTAAGGCAGGAGTGGGGGGCTCAGCCTGCAGGTGTGCACGACAGCACGTCTGCCCCATAGGCTGGAGCCTCCTGTAGATGAGGTGGCCAAGAAGGTGCCGGAGAGGGCCTTTGAGCCTGGGCACCAGCACCAGGACTAGCACCAGGGTGTGGGGGCACTTTGGTCTATTTATGTGTCTGAGTATGTTCCACCTGGAGGAAGCGGGGAAGGCCGAGGTCCTGGCGGAACACAGGAAGCCTTAGAAACACGGTCAAAGCAAAACAACAGCCAGTGGTACAGCAGTGACTCGAGACCACCTCCTCCACCACCTCCGCGCTTCCCCGAGTGCAGGTGAAAACTAGAAAGTCTGGCCACGTCCCTGCAGGGGTTCATAGCCTTGGGAGGATGGGTTTCTGGTCCCGGTACCCACCCCACCCATCCATTCCCTCTCTCTGCAGAATCTAGGCTTGATGGGGGGCTTCTGACATGTCCTGAGGTGGTACTAGTAAGAGACGCTGAGGTAGGCTGGGTGCCGCTCCCTGGTGTGGCACTTACCTAGCATGTGCAAGACCCTGGCTCGGTTCCTGGTACCTGAGGAATAAATAATGAATGAATGAATAAATAAATAAGGATGTGGAAATATATTTAAATAAGTGTTTAAATACAAGCCCAGAGTCTGATGGCTGGAGAAGAGTGCAGTGCTTCCTGAGACGCTCTGGTCTGGACTTGTCCTGACAGTGGAATGCGGCTGGAAGCCGCAGACACCCTCCCCCGACCCCGACACTTGCCCACCTGGGCACAGGCACACACGGACTGAGGCCCGTGGGCAGGCACAACACACCTTTCTCCTCTGTCCCCGAAAACGCGGCACCTGGAGTTGCCTGGGCCCACAGGCAGCCCAGGAGGGCAGGCACCGGGCAGAGAGACTGGCCTTCAGCCTGCTGTCCCCGTGCCCCTATTAAAGCAGCTCTGGACTGCTTATAATTGGTTCCATGATTCTCAGCCACCCTGCGAACTGCCGTTCAAACTTGAGCAGCATCATGATCAATGGAAGCTGACGGCGGCTGAAGCAGTATTGACTTCCCATTCCTAAACAGCACAGTCATTAGTCAAGGAAAGCATCTTTTAATTACTCCCAGGAAGGAGGAAAAAAAAAATCTTTTTGGATGGATTCTGCAACAGCTGCCATTTTGTCCAGTGCATTCGATATTAAATTTATTGTCATAGGAGGAAAAAAGATACCCTCGTCCCCCTCTGTAATGGGGGTTTAATTTGGAGAAGGATTCATGTCAGAGGCGAGATCGATGAGACAACAATTAACTACATCTGGGGCAGAATCAGAATTCCCCCTCTCTAATTGCTATTGATACCATTTAAGCACACACTTAAAATATTGATTTTAGGTGGGAGGTTTAAGCGGCGCACAGGTAGTAGCAGTGGGCAGAGGCGCCGGGACTGTCGGGGCTGAGCAGGGGCATGTTGCAGTCTTAGGGCCAGGATTTTTGGTGTGAGCTCGGGTGGTGGCCAGGATGAGCACCTTGTAGCAGCTGGGGAGCCATGGGGCAGGCAGGGTCCCTCCGTCAGAGCACCAGTGTCTGTCACTATGGAGACAAGTGGCCGAGCTCCTCTTCCAAATGCAAGAATACTAACCGCAGAGGTAAAGGTATTAAAATAGCAGGTGGACCTTGCTCGAGTGAGGGGACAGGTGAATGGGGAGGGTGCAGGTGGTCACCCCAGAACGTGAGCCTTTTATGCCCCTAGGGCAGGGGGCTTTGGCCTTTGCAGCACAAGGGCAGCTGTCCCCATGAACCCATCTGTGCCCCAGGGCTCAGTGGTGTCTGGGGGCCTCATGCGACACCATGACCGCATTCTGTATTATCGTCCCCTCTCACGTGGAAGCCCTTTGGATTGACTGCAGGGACCGAGCAGAGCCCTCTGGGCAGAAGCCACCCTCTGCTTGGCCCTGTGGCTCTGCCTTCGCCTCCCATCTTTGTCTCTTAGTGTCAGGCATCTGGCCCGGGAGGGTCTGCGGGGACGTTGCTATTTGCATTTCAGCACAGGTAGCCTATTTACGCGTGCTCGGGAGCCTGCTGCGTTGGACTAGGAAATCAAAGGAACCTGGAAGTGCAGAACTGGGTTTTCAATTCCATGAAAGAGCTCTTGAGAGGAGCTCTGAGCGCGGCTGAAATCACCCATTGCCTCTTTGATGCTACTTGGAAGGGGGCTGGCGGCTGATTTAGTACACGCTCCCTCCTGTCTTTAGCTTCCTGTTTCTCTTCTTCTTTTCTTTTTTTTTTCCATTATTTGTAAGTTCACCTCCATGCCTAAACATCCTTCTTGTCTTTAACCTATAAAAAGATGTTGCCTTGGAAAGGAAGATTGGTGCCCACATCAGAAACCCGCGTGGGAGAGACTGGCCGTGCACTTGCAGATGGAAGCAGCCTGCCCGGCGATGGAGTGCCGTCTCCTTTTGATTCTGCAATGCCACTTTCATCTTATTTATGCACATGGAGATATTGATAAAGGGGAAATGTATCCAAACTGAAAATAATTGGATCCCTGCAGCCAACTCTGAAATATTAAAAGCAGCCCCACTCGGCCACGGCTT